TGTCTCAGTTGGAGCGAGTCTTTTCGAGAAGAAAGCAATTGGTTTCCAGGCGTTTTTAACCAGTTGGTTAAGGGTACCGCCTACTGCTTTATCTGAAGCATCCACCATCAAAGCAAGTGGGGAAAGAGAATTCGGATATATCAACGTAGTTGCTTGAGCCAGTTTATCTTTAAGCTGTTTAATAGCTTTGATGGCGTCAGAAGACAGTTTGAATTCTTTTGGTTTTCCTTTAAGTAAATCTGTTAAAGGTTGCATTAATTGTGCACAACCTGGTATGAATCTGCGATAAAAGTTAATTAGACCTAGAAAACTTCTCATTTGTGTTAGAGAGCTAGGTATCGGGTATTGTTTGATGGTATCCACTTCTTTTTTTATAGGTTTAATCCCTTCTGGGCTTATTGTGTGACCGATAAATTCTAAAGTTTGAACACCGAAAACACACTTACTTTGATGTATGTTTATTCCATGTTCATTCAATCTTGTCAACACTGCTCGTACATGCTCTTCGTGTGATTGCAAATCGGGGCTGGCAATTAACAAGTCGTCTATATACCCCTGCGCAAATGGCATATCTCGAAGTAGGTTATCTATGAATCTTTGAAATGTCTGTGCCGCATTTCTCAGGCCGAATGGCATGCGTACAAACTCGAATAAGCCAAAGGGTGTTGTAATAGCTGTCTTAGGGATATCTTCATCAGCCACCGGGATATTGTGATATGCCCTGACTAAGTCAATTTTAGTGAATATGTTCATGCCCTGTAAACCGTTTGTGAAATCTTGGATATGCGGTATTGGGTACCTATCTGGTACGGTTTGACGGTTGAGGGCTCTGTAATCCCCACACGGTCGCCAGTCACCTTCATTCTTCTTTGGGACCATATGCAAAGGGGATGCCCATTGACTATCAGAGGGACGGATAATACCCAGTTGTAGCATATAATCAAACTCGGCTCTAGCGATTTTGAGCTTATCTGGTGCTAGTCTCCTGGGTTTTGCAAACACCGGTGCACCTTCGGTTTTGATAGTGTGACTTACTTTTAGTTTGTCTTTGGAAGGCTGTGGGTTTGGTTTAGTTAAGTTTGGAAATTCCGCGAGTATATCTTGGAATTTCGCTGTTGTTACTGGAGGGGTTTGAATCAAGTTAAGAGAGCTGATGTGACTTTCTTTGCCTTTTGTGTAAAACGAAGTTTCTTTTAGTGTTAATCGCCGTTTCTTGGTGTCAACTAGAAATTCGTATCTCTCTAGAAAGTCCATCCCCAGTATTGCCAGATCTAAGTCGGCTACCGTGAAAACCCAAGGGAATTGCCTTCTGAACCCCAAATCTAGGGTTAACGTTTTCTGCCCAAATGTCGCGATTGTAGTTTTATTTGCAGCTTGAAGTGTAATCGGGGATGTTTCTCGACTAATCTCAGTTTTATTTCGAGGGATGATGCTAAGAGCAGCGCCAGTGTCCACCAAGAAATTCAAGCCCGAGTTTCTGTCTCTGACATAAAACAAGCGACAGTTTAGGCGCCCCTCCTCAGTTGTCGCGACCTGGGGAGGGGTTACTCGTTTCCCGCTGTCTTGGAATTATGCTTAGGCCAGGCGCATGGTTGCCTGCACTTGGTTGAGTTGACACCAAACTTCCAGTGGTACCAACAAAACTGCCCAGATTGTCTGGACATTTGTGACCTATTTTGTGACTTGGATCGTGATCGTTGTGGTGACCTGTTCCTGTTTGTATGACCCATTTGCATTCTGGTGACAGCCTCAGTGAGACTCTTAACACTCGCAATGAGTCCTTCTATGACGGGGTCTTTTGCTGATTCTACTTTCTGTGTGTGATTTATTGTGCCTGATCCAGTTGGAGGACCTCTTTCCATTATTCTATCAGCTATACGCGCTAAATGAGATAATGAGGTTTCAGGATCTTGTGCATCCAAACAATGTTGGACGTAGCATGGGAGAGCTTGTATCCATCCTTGTTTTAGGACTGCTTCACCCACTGTGTTATCACCCACTAAGACTTGGAGGTGACGTAGAAACTGTGACGGCGACCGATCACCTAGTGTTTCACCTTGAAAAAGTCTTTGGATTCTTTGACTATCTGATAATGATAAACGGTTCATTATCTCTCGTCTTAAGACGGTGTACGGTTGTGGTGATGGTGGATCTAAAATCAAGTCACGGACTTCTTTGGCGACTGAAGGAGGAAGGATAGAACACAAATCTCTATAGCGAATCCCTTCAGATTTGATATTGTATCTCGTGAAATAATGCTCGAGTTGAGCAAACCACAACTCAGGATCACTACGATCAAATTCTGGAAGTCGAGATTTCGTAGTCATAACAGTGTCTATCTCCTTTGGTGACAAATCCTCCAGATTATGGGTTTCTTTTAAGTCTGACATGAGGTATGTGACAAATATAGCAACAAAATTAGCACGAAAAAAAAATGATTTCTATGACACGAATAACTTAAGATAATAAAAAAAATAAACTATTTATATACCCAACTTAGTTTACGGATTATCAGGTCTACTTTTACGATTGAGTAAAAAAAATAATATTAATAACAAAAATGAGGTTAATTTGTGTTCAAAAAGGGCTCACCAGTTTCGTGCCTATAGATAACCCTCGTGTTATTGATAGAAGAAGCCCGTCATAAAGAGAATATTTCTTTATTTCGATCTTAGCGCAGCCACAGTGGAGCGTGGGATTATCTGTTCAGACAAACAAAGGCTTTCAGCATTCAATATAAGATAATAAGGAATATAACGCTTATACAAAATAAGGAAGTGAATGAATACTTGAACAATACTGTTTTGGCATATGCTTGGTTGTTTGGGGTCAACTCTTAACCAACCAACCTATGCTGTTACATACTAATGATCTCTTTGTACTTGATGTTTGCCTGATTTCTAATTCTAAACACTATATGTTTCTTTGTGCTCATCTATTTCTGGTTGATTTAAATTGCATGATTTTGGGGATTCTTAGATAGTATAATATCTCAAGTACTTCTACTTATCACAGTATAATACATGTTTGTGATATGGAGCAATCGGTTTTCTGTTTACCGTCTGTAATTTGAAAACCGATTCGTGCAGACATTCTTTAGAATCCAAGAAGAGAACGCTGACTTTTGAGCCAGTGCCGGTGAAATAGCAAACTTTTGTTGTCATATTAGCCAGCTATGTCCGTTGATTGCAGTTGTCGTTAACACGTTCCAATTAGGAGTTTTCAGAAAGGTTTTTCATGTCATGAGATTTGAAAATTATAAAATCACGGGTTTTCACACAATTTCTAGAAGACTTACCATATTTATTGTAGTGACATTACCAATCAGAATCATCTGTCTCTCGTCGTCTAAAGACAGAACTACATTGTAGCGGGATTCTTTGACGAGTGTGAGAGCTAATATGATCATGATGAATATTAAGGTAACGTATCAAAGTATGACAGAGATCTGTGACGTTGTGTTGTTTGGGGTCTTTTCTTGACAGTGAAGATGGCACAGGTATTCAGAGTTTGACAACGCTTTTACCAGCAACACCTAATATAATTTGTACTCACCGAGAGAAATCAAAAGACAGAATCGAGGAGATCGGAAGAGTGTATTTGGCGATAACCAATATATCGGAATTCTTTGATCTAATCTGGCTAGCGATTGCGGTAGATGTTGAGCACAGCGTTGCCACACGTGATCTGGTGCGGATGCATGACCGAGCGCCTTCAGCTAGATGAGTCCACTAAAACATATGGTCAGCATCCAATGTCGAAAAATTACAGAGCTATTTATTTTGGGGATTTATTTACCGCTACAGATCACTCCCTCCCTAGTGAGGCAGTGATGACCCTAAGACGTGGCCAGCCAGAAGTTTAAACCCAACGAGTTTGTCGTTGGTAAACACTCTTCTGATAGCTTACTAAGTTTAGCAGCGTCTGGTCGTCTTTCCTTACTATATGGGACCGAGGTACAACATAGTAAAAAAAGAAAAAGGTACAATGAAAATTTCGGCTCCTCGTAAACTGCATCGTTCTTTTCCAGCCGTCCTGGAAAAGAAAAATGAAAATGTAAGTGCATGTCGAAATTCACTCGTATGTGCATAAAAACACGATGTCGGCTAAAATAAAATGGAGAATAATCTCTAGCACACGTAATAGCGTTAAAAAATTATGTTTTTTTAAAATCAAAATATAAATTATAAGCATATTAAAATTGTTTTTAAAAAATATTATAAATCGTAAAAAGAAAGATCGAGATAATATAAAATGTCGAGTAGTGCCTTACGTGCAGCAGTCGATTAAATGTTCTGGAAATCTTACTTTTCTTCCAGAACGCGTCGTCTTATGTTTATTTTCAGACACATTTAGAGTGTCATCGCTAGTGTTGGTTGAGGAATTATGGTTGTAAGAGTCGTGTTGTGCGATTGTACTGGAGGGAAATCGACCCACGTCCGTTGATCAGGTAAATTTACTTATTTTATTTTGTTGTATAATGAAAAGGTGACTTCACCTTAGCTTTAGGTACCTCTAATAACAGGTTAAATGTTGATACACAGCGTCTTTCTGCTTCGCAGAGAATCAATCTCCTGTGTAAACATATCAATAAGGGTCCGAAACTCCAATCGAATGTACTTATGTTGGAGTCCCGCATTTGCCAACTCGTGGTCAACTACCAGAAGGCCCCGTATAATGTTTCGAATTATTTGAATTATAGCACTAACTAAGAGTCCAAGAAATAACGCAATTGAATTAAGAAGACACAAGCACAAACGAATGTTTTGTATTTGGAATTCGAAATCGAGCATTCAACATGTACAAAGGTATCATTAGTCAATTCAAACACCAAACCCTGTACAAATAAGTAGTGCAAGATTCATATGGGAACGCTTTTGAGGACACTTGCCAGTCTTTGTACAGGTCGACAACATGTTACCTTCCTCGCTAATGGCTGATGTTGAGGCGTGAATGTGAGCGGTAATTCAAATGTTTTCGTGTCGAATGGATATTCTACGATGTGGCGTTACGTTGCGTTGTTTTCAGGAGCCAGGAAGTATTGTAGCACACAATCGAACTATATGTTAAACGAGTTGTGCATAGTCGTTGATAAATGCGATCACGTTCTTGGGTTTGCTAACAAGAAGGTAAGCAATACACACTTCATAAGTCACTATAGTGTCTAGACATGTCATGAAGTATTGTTCGGAAAATCGTTACTACACCGAGCATTCAGCCTATTCCTTTTTCAGGAAGATACTAGTAGTGAAAAAAACCACAGAAGCCTTAAACTACTAGTCCAAAAACGTTCAGCTAATAAACTTACGTTTCCATCTCTGTGGTCAAATACTTGTTGCAGTCATCCTATCATGAATTTTCCTGATGAACTTATCGAATCGGATGCGATAGGGGTGAAGAAAGCTGCACAAAGAAAGGTAGGGAGATTGACTTGATTTTTTTAAATGAATAGCTGTTCCATGAACTCGGCATCAACAATACTTTTGTTCCATTAAATCGGATACACTTCTTAGGTCGAGTGCTGTATACAGCTCCAAATGAACCATGCACGCAAGCTGCATTTGCAGAACATGAAGTGGACTACATTCTTGTCAGCGTGCTAGATCCAGTTGCTAGTAAGTTATTTTCTTGCTCATCCTTTCCATTTGTATTATTTTGATGCTATGACGTGTACAAAGTTGTTACATGTGGACAAAGTTTTTGTCGCCGTACTTTGCTTGTTTTTTGAATGATGTGAATATTGTCTGAGGGCTGGGAAAAACCACTTCCGACCAGTTACTGATTCAGACTCTACTCTTAACTTGTCTGAACAGCCGGGCAGTGTCACTACTCACCATAAAGTAAAGGTTAAAACCGGTTTCACGATTCTAAGTTTTGTTAATAAGTTACATACTAGAAAAATAACGTGGTGACCATTCTTAAAAATAACTGCCGGAAACTACTGATGGCATAGTTCATTTCCTTAGGTGTATACGAGACGGTACTCGAGCCTATTGAGCGATGACTTTAAATTCGGAATTTGAATTTCAGCTAATGAATCGTGTCATGACCTCTCTTTAAAGTCAAATTATATTATAGGCCTTCATACAACAGGCATTTTGCCACTTATTGCAGGCAAACCGTCATTATTCGGCAAACTCACATTGACTCTGTATCGCTCTTTTAATTCAGTGAAATATCAGTGGTAGTGAAACTAAGCATCAGACGATACAGTTCAAAGAGAAGAGATACACTAGATAAATATAAAGTACGAAATTGTATTGAGGCCTAAGACTCAGCGAAAGCTAACGAGTGAATTGGTCTACTCTAATGTGACCGATACTGAGCCATATCGCCCAATGCTTCTAACCACTGATCATAATTATTGTGTGATTTTCAATCAACTAGTCTGCACCTACCAACATGATTCAAACCAACAGTCATTGACTTCACGAAATGATGCCACATTTTTATCTAGCCACCTCTAGCTTCCTTTAAGTCTACTACTCCAACCAACATTACGTCGAGGTAATCATATGTAACACATGTTCAAACACCTCAGTCGACGAAAGCTAACAGGCTCACCAACCGATTTGTCATTTTTGTCTAGTGCCCTATATCTAACCCAAGCATTGATCACCCGGTCATTCCACGATAGGCAAGCAATACTTCGAAGAAACCTATTTTCAAAAACCTTCAGCCTACGCATGTCTTCTACTTTTATAGCCTATAGTTCACGCCCATGGAGTAATATGAAGCAAACTGTGTTTGTGTCCACCAAATAGGGTTGTCATCTTAATCAGTGTCGTTTAATGAATTTCTAGGATGATCAGCCGCTGAAAAGTTCTATATATAGACATGACGAAACTAAATAAACAGTTTAGTGGGCAACCCTAACGCGCACCACTTGAGGTTTATGATTCCAATGACAGTTTATCATAAGCTTTGATCAATAGTGTTTGGGTGATGGGTTTTTCCAAGGTTGATTTACTTTCTCGGTACACCTTTTACTGATAAATATCGTTACAAAACCTGTTGCTCAACGGAGTCGAGTACCGCCTTAAGGTCGAAAAACAACTATAGTTGGGCGTCAGTAAATATCCCTTTGATTTATATCCTGACAAATTTTCAATACTTGGTCAATACATGCCCACATCTTTAATCAGTTTGGTTTCCATGAGTTTGCTCTACACGAGTTCAGATTAAGCATCAAATGATTATGAAGGCTAGTATTTTAGATATATTAGTCGAATTGATCTCTCTATGTTTAGCAAAGAGCACAGTTGAGTCGTCCTGCTTTATTTCACCTTTTTCTCAACTACGAAAATAAAATTAGTACCCTCATTTCTCAGTTTTTTGCTACCGGATAAAAGTTTATTACTCGGTTGTATGCAACAGGTTACAAAATCACATTGTCTACTGGGTTTTCCAACACTGACAGGAAAAAACGTCTTTAAAATAATGTGACTTTCTAAAAAGTAGAAAACATTTCATTTAACTGTGTAAGTTGGCTTCCAGAAATATATATATATATATATATATATATATATATATATATATATATATATATATATATATAACCGGTTTTGTAAAATGTACTTTGATATGTGTCATAAACTTTCCATTTATACGTAGATATGTCTTTCGTTTATTATTTTGCCTAGCTCGAAATCTTCCAGATACAGACTTAATGAAACTAAATCCTGATGAAGTCAGTGACGCTCGTTGGATGGCTTTCAGTGATTTCAGCTATATGAAATGTTCCCCGAGAGATCATATAAGCACATCAAAAACTTCAGACTCCGATTTCTGCAGATCATCCATCACCCCTTGGCTACGTGGTCTTCTTGCACGCGGTCTCTTGCAAAAATTATTTAGTTGGGCAGAAGCATCATGTGGTAATCACTTGCAGGAACGCTTTTTGACCGAAGACCAATCCTGGGATAGAACTAAGATAATACATTTGTCTTCCGAGGACGTACAATAATTAGTATTGTTTCATTTCTGACGGTCTATACTTTACTGTAATATAATTTCCAAAGAAGCCTGTGTTCTAACTGTCCTAATGATATTGTCCTCTTGTTCTTTTTTGTGATTTGTTTGTGTTAAACAACTGTTATTTACATGTCCTATCTATGTTTTCGATGTGACAAGCGAGTTAAGTCAATAATGAGGTGTGTCAATCGAATCTTTTTCTACTACCTTCTCCAAAACCATACCTTTGCTCAGTGGTAAAATTTCATGAAACTGGATGTCTAACTGCTAGTACATATAAACTTCAGGTCACGTTTGTGATACTACTCAACTTTAAAAATGGAAGTAGATAAGCATGGTTCAAATATATTATTCACAAGTTGATTCATTTAACTACTGATTCACCTCATTACTTATCAGCAAACATAGGTTTTTAATAATAAGCTATATAGTTAATTCTAATACTCCATTTCAGTTTTGATACGTTTCGATCGCAAGCCAGTCTTCTGAATCATTGACTGAAGGAACTGTGACAACTGTTGTATATGTCCAATTAACATCCTACATCCGTGCACAATATTAACTACGTTGGAAGTAGGTCGAGAGAAAGCTATGGGTGTTCAATGCAAGATATAACATCAATCCCTTAGGTCATTGATGACTAATTGGTGCAGATTATCTGGTTGGAGCCCGCACGGTAATCGTGCTCACTGGTCTAAAAAGCTGACGAACATATCTCATTAAACAATGGCGTAGAGTTTCAATGTTGCTTCGTACCTTTTATTCCCTTATTTCATTTATGGCAGGAAGTGTTTTCAGGAAGACCATATTAAATCGAACTTAAATTTTGTACTTCCTAGTTCTGATTACCATTAATACATATTTATGAATGTTGCTAGGCTAACTACGGCAACCGCTTGTGGGAATTTTATATTATACCCCTCATCTTCCATAAGTCGTGTCAAGTTTTTTTTAGTTGTTATATTCATCTATGTATATAATAACTTGGCTTGTACATTCGTCGCATTACATAATCTCTATGCCATTTGAATTTAACAGTTATTTGAAACTCCTCCCTGCAACTAAGTAAACCGTATTAAGCTTCAACTGAAACACTAGTTGGAATTCTTTCTCCCCGTGGTTATACCTTTGTTCCTGCAGTAAACCTGCTGATGCAAATACAATTGGAAATCAACTCATACGGACAGCATGCTCACATAAACGTTAATCGACTTTCTAAATTAAACCAAAGATGATACCAATATCAACATTTCTGCAATGTTGATCGTTTTTTATCCCTAAGCCCAAAATACTTATACTACCCATAAGTTAAGCAATTAAACAACGGTTATTACTATGTATTTTAATGAAACTTGTTTAAAATATCTGTATACTGAGTCATTCTTCATTATTATAATCCCACTTTACTTGATGTGTAAATAACGTTCATGTAGCTTTTCATTTTAAGCGTGTTAATCATAAAGTCAAACATTCTGGAATTATTACATGTATTTCCCGATCAGTTGCGACCACCTTTTAAGCATACAATAGGGATAAATTAGAGTAGCTTATTCAATTGATCAAGTGGAAATGTGACACTGATTCATGTAATTAATTGCTGCTATATATATGCTTTTTTGATGTTCATTTATATAAGAAATATTTGTCATAATCCCGAGGTAATACTGTCTAATTTTGGTTACTACGACACAGACACGTTCTGTATTTTTAATATACCGTCTACCTATTCATATCTAAGTTATTCTAGTTTACTTGACCCATTTTCTATTTTTGCTCTTGTGAAGCGCTATAGCCTGGTGGATAGCAGTTTCGCTCCCGGTTCCACACTATTGTTTTTCATCTTCATAAAATAAATGTGAATGTATAAATGAAATCATTTACAACCTTTGAAATACAAATTTATAAAGCTAGAACAGCATGTATGTATGCTGCTGGATATTTATATAATATACAGTGTACAGTACTATTTTAATCATACGATCTACCATTTATACTCTTTATTGAAATATCCTTGTAGAATTATTATTTGATTCCCTGGTTCAGTCTAGTTAGATTATTTATAAAAAGTGTTTTTCTTCAGTACGTAATTTGTGTTTAATTCTTTGCGGTTTGGTCATGTTTTTCAGATTTTTTTCTGACTGTGACTCATATTCCGGTGAAAATCTTCATGATTATTGGAACTGTGACTCCAAAAACTCCTATAACATCTGTTGTAGATAGCTGTCAGACGCCTAGCCTAACGACATCGTCGGTTCCTGTATCTTCAGGTTCTGAGAATACTAGTGGTGTACTTCTTAGCAATTTATGGACTCAGCTTGACCACATTCAATCTACAGTAAGTGGTTTTTATTAACAATGTGTCTCAATCAAAGTATATTAATTTTGTACACAGGTCTGGGGAATTTCCTTAACGAATTTAAGCTTTCTTTGCAAACGAAAATGAGTTGTTCTTTACACATGGTCGTTATAAAAACTTTTCAGAACAATGATTGTAGTTTATAAATGTTTTTCTTGTCAGCTGCATACATATTTGGGTTGAGTATCGTTCTTATGTAAATTAATTTTACATATAGACTATTCTCTTTGTCCTGTCTTCATCATGCAGTCATAATGTATTATTCTCACCATATATCAGATTAGTATTGGCAAAAATACCTCAATTCTAACATGTTTTCGTGCTTTTATTTAGTTTATTGACTAGATGCTCGGTAGATATTATTAGACATAAAATTAATGGTGATACATACAACTTTCACTTTCTAGGTTGAAAACTGCATTCTAAATCAAAATAAATCGTAGGTTACTTCAGTTAATACTACTATTTATATGCAAATCGCATGATAAAATTAATAAATAATAACTAATAAAACCCGACCTGTGTTTTTATGAATAAAAATGCACAATCTCGTCACACTAGTAATGTCAAATAAATGGTTTTTTTGACTCTATTGCACCTAACTGCGTAATGTTAAAACATTTTAGTTAAAGTTAATACCCTGTACTATTGTTAATGGTCAGTTACATCAATTGTAATGTCATTAAAGCTCATAAACTTGGTTGACCTTATTTCTTCAACTTTGTCTGAATAATTCTGGTTATAGTTCCCAACATCCTATATATACCATTTTTTAAATTCCCTATCGATTTCCAGATTCCGGACAGATTGTCGGTTGCTATGTTAGAGAGTGCTGGTGTGCAAATGGAGAACAGCGACCCACGACTTGCCCGTTTAATCAGTCTAGCTGGTCAAAAATTTCTGACTGATATCCTTTCCGACGCTATGCTTCATTGGCGCCTTGCAAATGGACAACCTACTGGGCTGCTAAACCATCCTAGTGTGTCCACATCTACGCCAGGTCAAGCATCTAATCCGTCTTCCATAAATTCTACTGCAACACTAACGAGCAACCCAAGTCAGTCTATTCCACAGTCTCCATCATCGAGTAAGTATAGCTCAATCTACTTGTGATTTGTTATAACAGTGTTACATTCACAAAAGTCTCGTATAGAATAAAAACACAAAAAAGCATTGGAAATTGTAGATCTATGCAATATATATAATATTGAATAAAGCCATTAATAATAATAAAGATAATTAGACAAGTTCAACCTATGGTTGCTTAATGTGATTGGATAATTCTGTCTACTTATTCAATTCAATTTATATCCTAATCGATTTTCGTTCTAACCTTCTGTCATATAGGTTAATTTTGAGTGTTTGGTAACGTACAGTTTTGGATTTCTAAAATAAGTAAACAGAATACAAATCAATAAATGATCCAATGTGGTCAAATGGTAACAGACTTCTTTTGGTAATCAGAGAGGGGTTTTGTGGATATATAGTAATTTAATAGTTGTGAAAACCATACACTAAGATTTAGATGGTGGTTGGAAACCCGGGTCTAGGGTTTCCTGTTGACTACCTCCAACCACCATCTAAATCTCAATGCATAGTGCCCGCAGTGTCGAGTCACCTAGACTGGTGGCCACATTGCAACATGATCGATAGCATTCGATCTGCACTAATAAGGACTACACAAGCATGACATTGATCGCCACCCAGTGATCAATCAGTTGTGACCATACATTAAATGCTTCATTTACGAATTTCCACCATTTATCGTTCACATTCTGTATGATTCCTCCGATTCACAATTCCTTTCTATTTACGTCTCTGTTCTCTTCAACTTGATCTTCTTAGCTTTCTGCTGTCAGGTTTTCCATTTTCGACCTGTTACATACTACTTATGTCGACAGACATAAGTAGCATACATCACAGTATAATAAAATTGTTTCGATCCTCTATTCTTATAACCTAATCTAAAACAAGGTTCTCGTTGAAGAATAATGTATTGATAACGATATTTGTTGTCCTCTTGTATTATAATATACAAACCAGTCTGCTTTTTAAAAGTAAAACCCGGGTAATACTAATACTACTGAATTTTGTTTTAAATTCGCACCATTTATGTCGACGTTCTAAGCAGAGTAGAAGTTTGTGATAGTCTCTGAATATAACACCGTGGCATGCTACTCATTTTTTATTTTAATGCTTTAGCTTTATTCTTGTGTTTAAGTCTCGACCATGATGTTAAAATGCTACTTCATTGTCATGTACGATCTCTTTAAGACGACTATTTACTTGTTTCCCGTCCATGAAGTTCCACGTCTCTCCTGTTAATGATGGTAGTATAAAAACTAAAACGATTCCAATATGATGGCAGAAATGCTATTCAGCAAACCAGTTTTACGCTCATGGTGGTCTAGACATATGGTATACTTAGGAAACTCATTGAAAATTTTAGTGAAAATATATTGAGTTTTCCGTCTTTCACTCCAAGCAGTGTTTCACTTGAAGTTGCATACATCATTTCGTGAAAGCTATTCATGCAAGAGATCGATATTCCAACTACAAAACTGTAAACCTATATTGGTGTTGGTACCAGACCACCTACAGAAAAACGTCACCCAATTACATAAATCTAGTTTCGT